CCCTTACCACCCCATCTTTTCCAAAGGCCGCTCGCTCACTTGCTCACCACCCCGTCTCTTCCAAGGCCGCTTGCATACTCACTCACCACCCTGCCTCTTCTAAGGCTGCTCTCTCTCCTCACCGCTTCGCTAACAAAAAGTCTCTTCCCACCAAAACCTGCTCCTTTTATAGCTTCTCCTCTCTCCTCCCTTCTCCCCCTTTTCGGGTGAGCCGGAAGCTCCAATCAGCATGTAACCGCATGCCGATCCTGGGGCTTCTGCCGAGCCCTGCAGCTCCAGCTGATCTCCTCCAGGACTGTGCGGCGCCACTTTAGCTGGTTCCCTCCCCTGCTACACTTGGCTAGGAGTCATGTACCACCTGCCAGGTGCTAAAGTACCACCGGTGGTACGCGTACCACCAGTTGAAAAGCCCTGCCCTATACCATTTCAGACAAATGGCTGTCCAGTCTCTTCTTAAAAACTTCCAGTGTTGGAGCATTCACCGCTTATGGCAGCAGAATCTTGTCAGTCTGAAAGCACAGATTTCCCGCTGTTTCTGTTTGCAGCCTGATAAGTTAATAGAGGTTCCTTCCTGAGTTTCTTTCTCTGCCTGTTATGCAGCTGTGGGCGATGCCCCCTCTTATCTGATTATCCCGTAGGCAGCATCTCTCGCTCCACTTCCCTCCACATCCCACATCTCCTTCCCACGTATCATTACACCAGCGCAGCTCTCCGAAGAGAGGTGGCACATGGGTCTGACGTGAAGCACCCAAGGCTGCCCAGGCATACCGTTGCTTTCTGGACCTGCTGCCCCTTGCAAACACTCTTCAAGGGCAGCCCCACATAGAACACCTTGCAGTAGTCCAGCCGGGAAATTAACTGCAGCGGGTGGGCGGAAGGACCGCAGATGTTATTGGACCGAGTAAAGCTTCTTGTTCCTTTTTTGCTCTAGACCTGGGGAACGCCAACGGGGAGCGTGCCGAGAAGGCCGCGAACCGCACTACCGAAAACGGATTGAAGGCACCCGGCAGAGCCCAGCTGGGCCAGAGAAGCTTCCAAAATCCCGATAACCGGGCCGCTTTCTGCCCAAGCCCAGCCTTCTTCAAGCACCAGCGGGTCCACGCGACGGAGAGCCCGCACCAGTGCCCCGACTGCGGGAAGCACTTTACGCAGCGTTCCAGCCTCACCATCCACCGGCGGATCCACACGGGGGAGAAGCCCTACCCCTGTCCCGAGTGCGGGAAATGCTTCCGTCAGAGCTCCAACCTCTTGAAGCATCAGCGCATCCACTCGGGGGAGAAGCCCCACCAGTGCCCGGAGTGCAGCAAATGTTTCGCCCAGCGCTCCAACCTGCTGATCCACCAGAGGACCCACACGGGGGAGATGCCGTACGTGTGCGCCGAGTGCGGGGCCTGCTTCAGCCAGCACCGGGGCCTGGTGACTCACCAGCGGATCCACATGGACGAGATGCCCTACGGCTACGGCTGCCCGGACTGTGGCAAATGCTTCCAGCAGAACTCGGATCTGACGAAGCACCTGCGGGTCCACACGGGCGAGAAGCCCTACAGCTGCCCTGAGTGCGGGAAGAGCTTCAGCTACAGCTCCAACCTCAGCAAGCACCAGCGGATCCACACGGGCGAGAAGCCGTACCGCTGCAACGTGTGCGGGAAGAGCTTCAGCCACCTATCGACGCGCAACACGCACCAGCGGGTCCACACGGGGGAGAGGCCTTACGGCTGCACCGAGTGTGGGAAAAGGTTCATTTCGAGCTCGAAACTCACCCGGCACATGCGAACGCACGCCATATACACCCCTTACATCTGCAACGAGTGCGGGAGGAGCTTCAGTTCCCACTCGGCCTTGACCACCCATCAGAAGGACCACTCCGCGGAGGGCTACAGTGTGGGCGGCTTGTGGGAGGGAGCCGAGCAGGGTCCGAGCGACTTCCTGGGCAGGCTGTCCCCTCTGTGACGGTGGCTGAGCTAGCCTGTCCTTATGAGACTACTAGTCAGGGCGCTAGTCCCTAAGGCATCAGAATTCTTTCAGGCCGGTTGTGAGAGTAGGCAATGCTGGGCTATAGAATTAGTGTGGTGGTTTTTGGAAGATAGAGTTAGGCTGGAGAAAAAAAAAAAAAAAAAAGGATAGTGCAGAGGACGGAGGCTTAGATTGTCGTTAGTTTTAGGAAGGGAGCAAAGCCTTTGCAGAAGAGAGAGCCCTGAAGCTGGCTGGTCATTGAGGGGGCTTCCCCCAGGCCCCGAGCCAGCATATTTAGTGTACCCCCCCCTGCTGTAATTTAGCTATCTTAATAGCTCTGTAGATCCCCCATATTCAGGAGCAGGTTATCTGTGAGTGTTGGGTACTTGTAGGTAATAAGTGAAAATCCTGTAGTCTCTGGAAGAGGAAGGGTGAGTTATGATTCGGATTTAGCACCTAAAGAGCAAAGAGAGCCACCATAGTTGTGAAAAATGGGGGTGGGGGGTGGGAAATGGACGGAATCTCTAATTTCAGAGAACTGAAATATATTTTACAGGCTTTAATTATTTTTTTTCCCTTTCCCTCCTTCCTCCTCCCCCGCCCCCCTTCTCAGCATCGCTAAAATCCAACTTGAAAATGGCGTCGGAAAGTTTTTAGTCGTTTTGTGGTGTTTGGATTGACACACTAAGTTAGCGCTGGGTTTTGAGGGTGGGGCATGGCGATCATTGCAGATTATGCACTGGGTCCGGTTATCCCCTGGTTTAAAATGCCAGGGCATACGGTTTCGGGTGGCTAGGTGGGGGTGCCCATTGCCTCCCTTTGTTAAAGCAAAGTTCCTCAACTGTAGCAACTTTCAAGAGGCATTGGGCTTCAACTGCTAGAGTTCCCTAGCCAGTCATGACTGGGGAATTCTGGGAATTGAAGTCCACACCTCTTAAAATTGCTAAGCTTGAAAACTATAGGCTGGTGTCCAGGGGTCTTCAAACTTGGCCCCTTTTATGACTTGCGGACTGAGGAATTCTGCGAGTTGAAGTCCGCAAGTCATAAAAGGGGCCATGTTTGAAGACCCCTGTGCTAGACTTTTCCGAATGTAGAAGTACCGTATATGCTCATGTGTAAGCCCACGTGTGAGTAAACAGGCCCATCATTCTGTGGAAAACAACATTGTGAAAAAGGGTGCTACTCACAGATAAGCCAACCTGCATTTTTTGGTGACAGTTGGGTTGAAACAATTCAATCCTATGGGAGAAGGGTGGTATACAAATTAAAATAATAAATAAATAAATAAATAAATAAATAAATAAGGGTCTGCTCAGCTACAGATGGGCTTGTGTAAGATACCTGAGTAATTTTAAAATGTATTACCGTATATACTCATGGTTGAAACTCAACATTAGGAAAGGCCTTTAGAAGGCCAGATCCTGAGGTTGAAACTCAAAATACTTTGGCCACCTAATGAGAAGGAAGGACTCACTGGAGAAGAACCTAACGCTGGGAAAGATGGAGGGCAATAGAAGAAGGGGACGACAGAGAAGGAGGTGGCTGGATGGAGTCACTGAAGCAGTAGGCGTGAGCTTAAATGGACTCCAGAAGATGGTAGAGGGCAGGAAGGCCTGGAGGAACGTTGTCCATGGGGTTGCGGTGGGTTGGACACGACTTCACAACTAACAACAACAACATATACTCATGGATAAGCCAAGTCTGATTTGGGGCATGTTTTGGAGCCTAAAATGTTTGGCTTATTATTGGTGTATATACCGGTAGAAAACAAAAAAAAAAGAGAGAAGGGTCTGGAATAGAATATTGTGAGATATAGGTAGTCTTTGACTTATTTGTTTAATGACGGTTCAAAGTTATAACGGCACTGAAAAAAGCAATTTACAACTGGTCCTCACTCTTTCGACTATTGCAGGATTCCCTTGGCGGGTCACGTGATCAGAATTTGGGCACTTGGTAACCGTATGATGGCTGCAGCATCCCAAGGTCATGTGATAGCTATTTGGGACCCTCCCAGTTGCCTGCCGACAAGCAAAGTCAGTGGGGGAAGCCTGACTCTGTTAACCACCGCGTGATTCTCTCAACCGCAATGATTGACTTAACAAACTTGGCCAAGAAAGGTTGTAAAATTGGGTGTGATTCGCTGCCTTGCTTAGCAACGGAAATTCTGATATCCCAACGGTGGTCATAAGTTAAGGACTAAACCTATATTCCAGCCAGCCTTGCCCTCTTGTAGCATACTCCGTTCTGCTCTTTCTAGCTTTATGCCTTTCATTTTTCCGAAGATAACTATCATCTATCAGGCATACCTGAACAACTAGCTCAATTATCAAACTAATTTAGGCCTCCCCCTTTCCAATTAGACGTCTTATTTGTGAAATCATGTTTTGTTTTTCTCTAGAGCAGAGCTGGGAAATGATGGCCCCCTTCATGACTTACGGACTTCAACTCCCAGAATTCCTGAGCTGGCATGGCTCAACATGGCTGGCTGAGGAATTCTGGGAGTTGAAGTCCACAAGTCATAAAAGGGCCAAGTTTGAAGACCCCTGGTCTAGCCGGATCGTAATGAACAGAGTTAACTCACCTCTTATGGCAAGGTCTCCCCATAAATGAACAGTCCAGGAAGGTACACCCAGACTTTGGGAGGGTCAAGTACCCGGCAATTTTCTGATTGTGATCCCTTAAGCTGGGTGCTCTCCAGATCTGATTCCCACTCCAGGCTTCAGTTCATTTTTCCTATGGGGTGATGGCATCTCATTTTTCTTTTTTTCAAATTAAAGGATAATCAGGCAGTCCTCAACGGATGAAGATGCCTGTGTGTTTAAGGCAAGGCTGAGGAATTCTGGGAATTGAAGTCCACCAGTCTTAAAGGGGTCCAAGTTTGAAGACCCCTGGTTTGAGGAAAACACATTTAAAGGGCAAAGAGACTTGGCAGATTTGTATAAAATGTATGAATGGAGTAGAGGACGAGGAATGGTGAAGGTTTGCTAAGTAGCAAAAGCTAGGGGGGGGGAATTGAATCAGAAGAGATTCAGGACAGACAAAAAAAATAAGTACGAGTAATCCTTGACTTAACAACAGTTCATTTAGTGACTGTTCAAAGTTACAACTACAGTGGAAAAAGTGACTTACGACCGTTTGCAGCATCCCAATGATCATGTGATCAAAATTCGGGCACTTGGCAACCGGTTCATATTTATGACCGTTGCAGTGTCCCGGGGTCGTGCCCACGTTCCGACAAGCAAAGTCAATGGGGAAGTCAGATTCCTTTAACAACCAGGTTGCTAACTTAATCAGCTGAAGTGATTCACCACAGCTGGTCAAGAAAGGTCACAAAATTGGGGCAAGACTTACTGAACATGCGTCTCACTTAACAACAGAAATTTTGGGCTCAGCTGTGGTCGTAAGTCGAGGATACTTGTAACGTTTTTGCACCAGGCATAGCTAGCTCGGGGTTTTACCGGTCCACTGATAAAGCCGATGGCCACCAACTTAAAATGGATTTTAAATTCAGAGAGCTGAGCTGTTGCTGATGGTCTGTTACCTTATCACAAAGATTGGGAGTGGAAGCCTCTGGATTTCAGATGGAACAGAACTGACATCTGGACGCTGCTTTCAGATGCTGCGGATGGACTTTTCCCAAGAGGCATCCAGCTGGCTACATCTGGATGGATGATGCTGGAAGAGGGGAACCGTTGGCCTGACCCAGCGGGCGTTCTCACAGTTCTTACCAAGTGGGGAAGGAAGACACAAGCAGGCAGAAACCTGGGCTAGAGAACCTGCAGAGGAGAGGTCCAGGAGCAGCAGATGTGGTTTGGAGGGATGTTCTCACCGACCAGAGGTTTTTTGTTGAAGGTTAGAAGAGAGCGTTACCTCAGAGCGGTGTTTCTCACTGTTGGCAACTTGAAGGTGGGTGGACTTCAAATCCCAGAATTCTGGGAATTGAAGTCCACCCACCTTCAAGTTGCCAACATTGAGAAACACTGTCTTAGATTAAGAACCCAAGAACTGAAGAATTCTCATTATGCATGGCTTTATATGCAACTCCAGAATTAGAATTTAGAATAGAATAGAATAGAGCTGGAAGGGACGTTGGAGGTCTTCTAGTCCAGCCCCCTGCTCGAGCAGGAGAACCTATACAATTTCAGACAAGTGACACTCTAGTGTCTTCTTAAAAACCTCTAGTGATGGAGCGTCCATGATTTCTGGAGGCAAGCTGTTCCACTGGTTAATTGCCCTCACCGTTAGGAAGTTTCTCCTTAATTCAAGATTGCTTCTCTCTTTGCTCAGTTTCCAACCCTTGTTTCTTATCCTGCCCTGTGATGCTTTGGAGAAGGTTTTGGGGAGTTTTAACACGATTCTGCTATAATGGAGAAGTTCTCAGCTTGGAAGATTCTCCATTGACTTCCTCTTAACACAGCAGTGGATAATCTTGGTCAGGCTTGTGCTTAGAAATTGGTGGCCCAAATAACAGAACAGAATAACCCTAGTTGGAAGGGGAGGTCTTCTAGTCCAACCCCCTGCTCATGCAGGAGACCTTATACCATTTCAGACAAATGGCTGTCCAGTCTCTTCTTAAAAACCCTCCACTGATGGAGCACCCACAACTTTTGGAGGCAAAGCCGTTCCACTGGCTAATTTGTTCTCACTGTCAGGAAATTTCTCCTCAGTTCTAAGTTGCTTCTCTCCTTGCTTAGGTTCCACCCGTTGCTTCTCGTCTCACCTTCTGGTGGAAAACGGGGTGACTCCCTCTTCTTGGTGGTAGCCCCTCAAATATTGGAACAGTATTTGAATAGCGGGGGCAAGCATTCAAAATAAGGGAGGGCCTGCCAGATGGGGTCGGAGTAGGAATTTTAAAACCATTACACCTCCCCCCAATTTTGGAGGGAAATGATAAGGGCTTCGTCTTTGGTTATATTATTTTACAGGGGTTTTTCCCCCCCTTCCCTGTGTTTTCTGCTGCAAAATGGAGGGGGTGGACGTCCTCTCAAGAAGCGGATATCATTAGTACTAACACTACTTTTACTATAAGATTGCAGTAACGGATTTTTGGAAGTCTGAAAACATCTCTCCCCTTCCTTGCCGTTGCTTTCCGAGGAATCCGGGAGGGTCCATTCCAAGATGCTTTCTGCTC